TAAGGGGTGTTGGAGTCTCTGGGAAAAGCCGGCTTTGTGGCTGGTGTTGGTGCATTTCCGCCACGGTCGAGCCATTACAATGCTGACTGCACACGGATGGTGACGGCACTAACACAGAGTTTCCGGAACATGCTCAGGAGTTTTTAGTATAACACCCGGATATATGGTGTCCAAATTCGGGTTAATTCTTATTTTTCGAAACTTGCCCATATCTGCGTACTCAGGCTCTTAGAGAAGCAGTCCAGTCCACAGATGAGCACCTCCGCCAGCAAGTGTTTGTCACAACGCTACCATCACACGCTGCGCTTCCTTTTGTCATAAGATGATTGAGCAGTATCCCGCACCTAGTGCTCATTCAACGAGGTTTTATTTATTCACTTACCGGCGGTTTTTTTCGGCTTCAAGGAAGAAAAACGTGGCAGATCTTCTCTGCACATGGGTTATGGGATCCTGAAGGGGCAGAGGGTACTACGGGATGCTGGGGCAGCAATGGGGAACCTTGGGAACTTTTTTTGGCGAGAATTGAGGATTATTGGTCAGACCTATAATTACCCCCCTATAAGCACTCCATAAACTAGGCCTGCTGATGACATCATTCTAGCATAGGGTAGAGGAGTGCGTGTCCAGCCTGCGATCGAGAGTTTAGGGCCAATCCCCAGAACTTTGCCAAACCCTAATCCCCAAACCCAATACCCAGCTTCCACGTCCCAGAGGTCCCCCAACGGTAATGCCCGTGAAAACCCCATAATCCCCGAAAGCCCACAGGCCCAAAAGCCCCCTGACATCCTATAGAAAATGTGAGGCAGATGAGTTCGATGCCCCGCTTGCTGTACTTCTGACCACTGCCACGGATCCATGCCTGGGCACCCAGTGATTCCAAAGCCACGCGGAAGAAAACGAACATAGAACCCTGAAAAATTAGGAACAGTATTCCTTGGGGGGTCATAGTATAGTATGCCCCCCAAAACCCGGATCTTGTTGTCAAGGCTCCTGTATTATCGGTTAGGCAATCTCTTATGAGCTGAAAGATTAATTGCAGTTCCGAGTTTAGGGTTTAGGGTTTTGGGTTTTGGGTTTCGGGTTTAGGGTTTAGGGTTTAGGGTTGGTTGCCCGGAGACCTGTCTCAGCTTCTCGGTTTCCACCCAAAGCCCACAAGGCCCTAAACCCTGGAACCCTTCTTGGAGGTTCACGGGTAGTTAGAAGTGGAGTTATAAGGCCGCTAACATGGGTTGTAATTATGGTACCCTACTTATCACCCACTTACAACTACCCGTGAACCTCTAAGCAAGACCCTTCCCCGAAGCCTGCATGCGTTTCAACCTGGACCCTTAGGACCCTAAGCTTGAGGCATGAACAAAGACGAAGAGCGCAGATAATATATTCAGGCCTCTATATTGGGGTCCTAGTTGTCCTCAGTGTGCGCGGGCGTGTGTGTGTGTGTGTGTGTGTGTGTGGGGGGGTGCGCGTACGTGTGTGTGTGTGTGTGTCCTGTTCCGGGGTTTGGCATCAGGCTCTCAAACCTTAAGTGTCCAAGTTCCCAATGATAAAATATTCCCCGAAATATGCACCTACACAACTACTATCCGAATACGATCCTAAAACTTACCTAATGTAGGGGCCTTAATAATTGGAAAAGGGGTCCGGGGGGTTCCTTATTCTAATTATAGTATGATATACCCCCAAACCCTTTCCTAATAATTAAGGCGCCTATATTATAGAACCCCTTATAGTAACCCTTATAAGACCCCTCTAAAGGAACCCTGTTCTAATTATTAAGGCGCCTATATGAATTATCGGGTCCTTTGGGCCCGTAGAAGATGAAGCCAGGACTGCAAGGAGCGCGTTTTTTGGGCTTTTTGGGTGTCTGGGTTTCGTTTCTTTCAGCGCCCGCCGGGCTTCCTGGGCTAGTTTAGGGTTTTAGCTTGGATGGGGTTTAGGGTTTAGGGTTTAGGGTTTAGGGTTTAGGGTTTAGGGTTCCCTAAACTTTAGGGTTTTAGCTTGGATGCTGATGCTGCCCCAACACAGTATCGGAGTTGAATGATGATATTTTCCGTATAGGTATATATATATATATATATGCCGACACAAGGCCTTTGAGTATTAGCCCCATTATAGACTGTGATTGTATGGGGGCAGTGCCCAGTAAGGTTTTGGGCATGAGCAGTGCGAGGGGCTTGCCGCTTCCGATGAGCATGTCCCTAGACCCGACAATTCGACAATATGTTGCTGTACCCTATTTAGGGGTTAGGGTTGAGGGTTTAGGGCTTTATTTATCGTTGGACATGTCGGATTAGTACCCCTATAAACCCTAAAGCCCTAAACCCGAAACCGTGTACCTCTATAGCGCAACTTTTGTGCTGTCCCTTGCCATTGCTTTTGGTACCCTTGGTGGTCCAATAGCCTAACTTGAAGCCTTTTGGTTCCCGATCAGGCGTTTCGGGTTTAGGCTTATCTAGCCCGAAGGGCTTGTAGGGTTTAGGATGTAGGGTTTAGGATATAGGGTTTAGGGTATAGGGTTGAGGGTGTAGGGTTTAGGGTATAGGGTTTAGGGTATAGGGTTTAGGGTATAGGGTTTAGGGTATAGGGTTTAGGGCATTGGGTTTAGGGTTTAGGGTATAGGGTTTAGGGTTTAGCGTTTAGGGTATAGGGTTTTTGGGCTTGGGTTTTTAGATTTGCGGATTGAAAGTTTCGGTCCGTGCGCATCCTCTGAGGCGGCGGGCGAGTTCCATGGTGGCGCCTTTCTTCAACTTAGCAGGCTTAGCATGTCCCGTCTATGTGGGGTGGTTGAATCAGCTGCTGCGAACATTAGGGGACTTAACTGCTAGGGCATCGGTGATGTGGCATCAGGTAGAGTTCTTATGAGAGCACCCTAAACCCTAAGCCCTAAACCCCTAAACCCTAAACCCTAACTCGACTGCTAGATCCTAAGCCGTGACAGGGTCCAGTGCAGCCGGGTTAAACCCAAATAGAGGGATCGGAATAACTAGAAATCCCATGGTTTCTCATATAGTGCAGAGAGAACTACATTGCCTACACTATAATCTCATCCGAAAACCCGCTTCTAATTATTCCGGCCCCGATGTTAAGCCCTAAACCCTAAACTCGCTTCCTTGGACTCTGTCGAGAAGAGGGTTCCAGACAGCCCTTCTGGAGATCCGAAGCCCGAAAGCCTTCTAGACCTGAGACCTGTTCCGGATTTTGATCCGGGCTGGGGTGTAGGGATTAGGGTTTAGGGTTTAGGGATTATAAATAGGGATTATAGGGTTTAGGGTTTAGGGTTTAGCGATTAGGGTTTAGGGATTGGGGTTTATGGTGTTCAGGGTGCTGCTGTCGTCACCTGTGATGATCGGAAGACTTGGAGGCACCCCTTGCACGATATGCCACAAGTGTCCGACGCACACGTGCACTTGAACGGGTCCGCTGCCATCAAGCTGCCGTTTAGGGCATTGAAATCTGCGGGCACCATTTGCTTCGCAACATGAAGAGCTGCCCAGTGCCAGTGACGCGGCACAAATCCCAGATCCCAACATGCAGGGGCAGCAGGTGCTTTGCTATTATCACTATCGTCCACGCTGCCAGTGGCTTTATGTCGCCAAGGGCTACTTCTTCGAGGAGGGTGGCGTCGGTGAGTGAACAGTTGGTTCTTGAGCCACCTGCATCAAGCTCTGCAGAAGTCAGAGGTGTTGCAGTTACAGCACGTAGATTGATCGTCTCCGATTGCGAAGTGCGGCAGGCAAAGGGTTCGCAACGGTCAACGTATGTGCTGTTGTTGAAGAATAGCCTGCAGCCTGCGTCGCGCTGGATGTGTAGATCTTGGTGTCTTGGTGCGCGTGTCCATGTGCATGTGTGTGCCGAGGGTTGGTCCAAGTGCTTTGTCGCGGGAGTGCTGAAAGATTCATGACGTGCACATGAATCAATGCTTGCGATCCTACGGCGCACTGCATGCTTTGGTCGCGAAGCTCCGAAACCTTTCGCCTCCGTCTAGCGGTGTCGGGCTGTGGTGTGCGCCGTGTCGCTCGCGAAGCTCGGGTCCCGATAGCTTCGGGCTCCGCGCCGCGGGCTGCTTAGCCCTCGCATATGTGAGACACAAATCCTGGGCTCTGGACGTGCAGGAGCATTTGGGCCCTGCCTATTTACAAACAAATGAGAAATTTCTATTCATGAACTCATCCAGGAGCATTTCGCGTGGGAAACTTCTGTTTACAAACTCAATGGCTGCATCTTCCCTATTTACAAACCTATTTACAAACCTCACTCTTAAGAGAAAAAGCAATTTTCAGCCGCGGGCCTCAAAAGTCCAGAATGTCAGGCACGGATTTCTCACCGCGGATGGCTCGCCTGAAAAACGCTTTTTCCCTTGAGAGTGAGGTTTGTAAATTGGTGCGTAAATAGGTTTGTAAATAGTTTGTAAATAAGGAATTAAGCAGCCATTGAGTTTGTAAATAGAAATTTCCTACACGAAATGCTCCTGGATGAGTTTGTAAATCGAATTTCCCACACAAAACACTCCTCCATGGCTCGACATGAGGATTTGCAAGTGGGCATTTTCCACAGAACAGAAGCCCAAATGAAGTTTAAATAGATGTCCACGACCTGAATACTCTACCTCGCAGGTCCGGGATCAAGGTCTTAGGGCGAGGCACCTCCGGTTCCAAAGCCAGGAAGACGACTCCGCTCGTTGCTTGGTTTTCCTGGTGTCTTTTTCTGCGGTTCTCAGCGACACTGCACAGCAAGCAGAGACGCCTGTGAAGGAGCTTGATGACTTGTCGCGAACCGACATCATGGATGCCGTGCTGGACGCCCTAGCGCATCCTGTAGTTGAGGCGGCCAATCAGTGCGGCGGCCGACCTCGCAGCAAGGGAACTGAGGCCGTTAATCCTGTCGTCTTCATGGAGGAGCCCAAGCACTTCCATGTGGCCCACAGGCTGAGTGCCGTCAGTCGCTTCATGCCATTCAAGACCGCTCTTCGCCATTGTTCCGGCTTGGCTTCGCACTGGAGTACCTCGCACAGTCAATGGTGGAGTGCTGTGCGGTATGGTATCGTCACGACTGAACACAAGCCAGCGGTGGATCAGTGCCCACTCGTTTTTTTCTCAAGTCGGTTGGTGTGATGGAGCCAGCTGCAGGCCACGGTCAAGTCTTGGAGTTTACTGCCTCTGGAATGAACTCGGTCGCAGTGAACCTTTACGAGGAAGGGCAGGAGCCTTTCAGTGCCAGCCAGCCTGTGGACCAGGCGCCTCATCATCAGCGCCACCAGCATCAGCAGCATCATCGTGAACACCCGTGAAATGGAGCACAACGTTGGGAACCGCCCAACCACACGCACTGAGCGCAAAACACGAAGAATGCTGACGAGCCAGCACGTACTAAAGGCCCAGTGCCAGCCATGACAAAGGGGGTGCGTGTTGAAAATAACCAGCAAGACAGAGATGATGCTAACAGGTCGTTGAGAGCACCGCATGCAATGTTTCAGAAGAGTGTATCCTGGCAGGGAGCGGGGAGGCAGAGAAAGAAAGAGAGAGAGAGAGAGAGAGACTGCGAGAGATTGAGCGCGACATAGCTGATGATGGACAGGCAGTACTGCCTTAGAGATACCACGCGAGAAGAATCGATCAGACTAGGGCCGATGTCTTTCATGTACGACTCATCAGTGTGAAGACGAAGACGAAGAGAAATCATTTTCGTTGCGACGTAGTATAGTACTTGCACAAGTAGCAATTGCGAAAGCAGTATCAGTAGCAAAGGGACAGGATGGAATTAGCAGGCGACGTATTGGTAGGCATTGCAGTATTAGACATCGTGAGCATCGGTGCCGCCAGAGCAGTATCAAGAAGCTTCGGTAGTGGTGTTATAGAGGAACTCGCGGCGTTTTTTGGGGTATGCATCTGGAAGGTTGTTTCCCATCTTGTTACACTTCCTTTGTAATGGTACAGTGTTTACAGTATTATACAGTACAATGAACACACCCAAAGCTTCAGTGTGATACATTAGTGTTGAAGCCGCAGTCCCGAATCGAATCTAGGACATGTTCATGTGGGTAGCTACCGTTATAGGAGCCTTATAGAAGGTCTATATAACTTCTAGAAGTCTTATAGAAGCCCTATATGCCCGAAACGCCTCACCTCTAGTTTCCTTGAGTCTAAGGATTTGCCATGCAGACGGACGCTTCCGACCTGACCCAGCGCCGCGATTGTACTTTTGTGTCGGAATCCTTAATCCCTAAACGGCTCTAAACCCTAAACCCTAAACCCTAAGCCCTAAACCCTAAACCCTAAACATTAGATGCGGGTTTAGGTATCAGGGCTCGCGGGTACAATTGTAGTAGGGCCTTGGGTTTAGGGTTGCGATTTCTAGGTGGTCAGCATAGTCTAGGCCCCCATATCATGATGCACGCTCCATGAAAGATCGGGGCTCTTAGAACTTGTGGTGCCTATCTAGGGGTCCTTATACCATCAGTACCCTCCTCTTTATCTTTTGAGGCTCTATATCAGGATCCCTAAACTAAGGATTGTAATTAGTGTTGATGGTTCGGCAGCAAGGATCGTATTGTTGTTTCAGACAGCAGAGCCACACAGATATGGCAGAACGACGTTCTGTTGGTTTTGGTTCCCAAAAGGTCCCAAGTACCTTTTTTGCCGTAGAGTGTAGGCTTTCTATTGTTAGAAATCCTTATTTCTATGAGTTGAGTTAGTATCTGATAAAAATCCGGCATTACCCATAATCAGGAACATACCATAATTCCGATGGTTTGTTTAGCGTGCTTAAGGTACTGCTAAGGATTTATATCATCAACAGTATCCCTAAACCCGAAACCCTAATCCCTTATCAGTACCATCAACCCTTATAGAATCCCTTAGAGATCCCTTCAAGGAGCCCTACAAGGGACCTTAACTCAGGATTTATATCATCAACAGTAGGACCCTTTGGGGTTATGGGCTCGGATCAGGGTTCGGCAGGATCGGGTCTGCATACATCGACATCAAGTCTAGGACATTTTCAGGTGGGTAGTTACCGTTATAGGAGCCTTGTAGAAGGTCTATATACCTTATAGAGGTGTTGCAGAAGCCCCACAAACCCGAAACACCCCACCTGCAGTTTCCGTTAATCAAGTTTAATTTTCGGCAGTCTCGGAGAGCTTTGGGGCTTTGGGTGTTTACGGTTTAGGGTTGCGAGGTCCACCATTTTCGGCAGTTTCGGGTTTAAGATTTCTCGGGGCAGGACAAATGTCTTTAACTCCCCCAACCCACCCGCACCCCCACACTACTACTAATACTACTACTACTACTACTACTACTACTACTATTACTACTACTACTACTACTACTACTACTACTACCGTGTAAAATTGCTTTAACACTGCATACTGACGCCCGAAGCCTCTCGATGTCGCACAAAGGGGGGATGTGGGGCTTTGAGCTCCTGAACCCAGCTTGGGGTGTTGGTGGAGAGGCTTTTAAGTCTAAGGAGTTTGGGGCTTAGACTGTGGGGACGGTGTGGGATTTGATGCTTCGGGCTTTAGGGGAGTTTTGGATTTTGGGGGGGTAGAGCTTCTCAGTGTCGGCTGCTAGTGTATAGAGTATAGAGTTCAGAGATTTAGGGTAGTCTAAGAGGAAGAATTCAATATTTGGATCTGTGAACCTTGACCAGCAGGCCCCTTTCACCCTTCAACCCTGAAAGCTATGCGGATAAATCCACATACTCCAAACTAACACACCCTAAACCCACAACTCCAC